GACCTGGTGGACAGCGGCACCTGATGCTTGCGGCGCGCCTTCATCCGTTCGGCCGGCACTGACCACCGTCTTCCTTTCCAATCAATTTCATTCCAGGTCGCCAGCCTGACTTCGCCGCTGCGCGCCGCCGTCAATACCAGGAACTCGAACGCCAACTTGGTGACGGTGTCGGCATTTGATCCATTCGCCGTTGCTAACGCGGCTGGAACGTCGCGGTAGTGCAGCGCCGCAAAGTGCTGCTTGGTACGGGGCGTCCTGGGCAACACTTTGGCGATTGAGCGAGCGGCAGGATTGTCGGTCCGGTAACCTTGGGCGACGGCCCAATCCAGCACCGTTTCCATGCGTTGCCGGACCCGGCTGGCCGTTTCAGGTTTCTCGATCCATATCGGCGTCAGTACGGACAGGATGTCCGAGCTGGTGATATCGGTGACCAGTTTCGGACCGAGCTTGGGGAACGCGTAGGTGGTAAGTGTATTGGTCCACTGCTCGGCGTGCTTTGCGTTCGACCAGGTCGGGCGACGTATGTCTATGACGATCTCGGATGCTTCTGCGAAGGTGGGAGTAGGTGGCCTCTGTCGGGCTGTGATGGCCTCACGCTTTTCGGCCAACGGGTCGCGGCCCTCCCGGATCATCCGAGCATTGACTAAAGCGGCCTTGCGGGCCTCTGCCAGCGAAACCGTCGGGTAACCACCGAGTCCCAGATTACGCCGTTTCCCATCAATGGTGACCCGCTGAAACCAAAATTTGGCGCCGGAATCTTCCACCCTGAGGTTAAGACCGCCGCCATCTGCGTAGGTACCCGTTTCCTGAACCGACTGAACGAAAACCGCAGAGAGGGCGTTGCGCTTGCGTTTGGTGGTCATGGGCCCCATCCTCCTATGCCAGCTATACCAGTACTATACCATTATTTTAGAGGATGCCCCTGGATTTTGGCGGATTACTCAGGACAGAATGATGGCCGTTTCCTACTTAAATGAGTAGGAAACGGCCATTGCGAGCGGACATTTATGATGTAAAATGGCGGAGAGGGCGGGATTCGAACCCGCGAGAGGCGTAAACCCCTACGCGATTTCCAGTCGCGCCCATTCGTCCACTCTGGCACCTCTCCGCAATAAGCCCTGATTCAGGACAAGCCAAATTCCTGTGCGTCTAACGGGCGGGCCCGCATTATAACATGCCGGAAAGATAGTACCGTTAGAACGGATACCCTGCGTAATCCCTGAGTCGGAGGCGGTTATTCGTAGCAGTTCCCACGGGATACACCTGAGATGATTTTCAACCAATTCCGCACCGGATATATTAACCCGGTGGTTCGAAAATCTCGGTTTCGGGGTGATATTGGTACCACCCAAACCAGAATGACGTCGTGGTTGGGACGCGCAGTAATTTGGTTGCTGGATCGTCTACATTGACCAAAGCCTCCTCGGTGACGTTCCAACGGCTTCCGGTGGAATCGGCCAGGATGGACGGCGGGCTGGATACTTCCCCGTTGGCGGCGATTGAGAAGCTGGCGCCAGCCCGTTCGTAGACACGGCCAGAACGGGAATCAGGCGATGCCACAATTACTATGTCCACGCCGCCGACGGTGTCGTTCAACAACCGGACGTCCTGAAGGTCTGCGACACGCCAGGCTTTCGAGGCCGATTGGATGGTGATGCCCACGACGACCTCTTGGGTTCGAATATAGGGTCCCGCAGCCACACCGGGAACATTACCTCGTCGGATGTGAAATAACTGTAATAGATTGCTCTGGGATCATCTTCCGGCACGTAGAATTCTGGTGGATAGATGTCGGTCTCCCGGGACAGCACCGTAGTGTCGGGATGTTCTGCTTGCCATTCCCCCCAGGTCGAGACTACTGAAGGGAAAAACGGCTGTTGAATGCCGGAGTCTGCCAGGGTCCCGATGATCGGTTCGCCAGAGAACTGGTTCCACAGCGACCTGGTGGCGCGGTCGTACATCACTTTGTTACTGCGGTAAAGCAACCCCGATGTTCCGAATGTGGTCGTCTGGCCGTTCACTACGCCGGAATACACGATCCCGGTTCCACAGAGGGTTCAATAGACCAGGGATATTGGTTCGCCGCCCAAAACGTCATTGGCCAATTCGTGGGCATTCATGATGCGCAATGGATAGGCTCGGTGCTCGCCGTTGATTGATACGCCGAAAACGCGATCCCGCGGGAACAGGTAGCTGGCTTCGCCGGGCGCAACGTGGGGAGGATTTTCCAGAGGCGGGATACCGTCGACCCGCACTCCGCCCCAGAGCACTTCGCTCAGGTCCACCCGGGATCGAAAGATCCCGGGTTCCAGCAAGTCTGCCATGGCGGGATCAATCTGCGACAACAGGTTGATTTTCCAGGCCGGGTATTCGGAAGGCGGAGCGTATTCGTCGCGTCGGGAGCCGATCCATTGGCCCCAATCTCTGGATTCAAAACCGAAATCCTGGCCGGTAATTACGCTGGCAGTCTCGATGGCTTCCCGCGCTGGGTCCAGCCTGAAAAAAATGAGGGATTCCAGAATGATGGGAACCTGGGATTTGTCGCGGGCCATTCGAGCGTCTGCCAGGGCCTCAAGTGTTTCGTTAGAAGAATGCCCGAACCCGGCCCAGATCCGGTACATGGTGGCGTTGGAATCATAGGTACGGGGTGACCGGGTCGTTAGATCGTTGGATATGCTGGTCGGTGGCGAAGTTGGTATTGTTGCATCGCCACTGGACGCTGCAGCGAGATCGGGAGCGCCCGACGCCGGAACGGTGGCGTCGGTGCCCGGAGTGGCAGACGTCGGCATGGCAACAGACTCGGTGGGAGAGGCCTCCGGTTGCCTGGTATGGCCACAACCCAGACCAAGGGCCAACAACACGGCCGACAGGACGATGAACAAACGCAGGGTAGGTACCGGGTTCATCACGTCTGCGACTCGGTACCGGTTGGGTCTGAAGATTGCGACTGGATAGGGAAATCGCGTCGGCGCTGTGGGCGCAAAGCTCGTCAGGGGATTGGCTTCGCCGTAAACCTGGCAGGCGCCATCGGTTAGGCGGAGTTAGTCAAAATGGTAGGGATAGACAACTTGCATGACCCGACCATCACGGAGCGCGTCGAAATAGCTATGTGGTACGTCGGGCTGCTGCAGCCAACGGCGGACCACGTAGGCGCACATTGCCACCAGCTGGGCTCCTACGGAATTTGTAGACCGGGCGATCATGAGGTCGTCGTACAAAGAGGGTGTAACTGTATCCGATTCGTCGCTCAGGAATTGACTGAGCCCCTGCGAAACTGATTCCGAATCCGAACCGGCCATGAGTAGGGCGTAGTCGGCGACCGACCAGGTGGATTGCATGATCTCTTCAGGATTCATTTCGGACATTACGTTTTCGTCCATGAACATGGTCAGCGCGAATAGTAAACGTCCGAATGCCAGCTGGGAAGGGTCTGCATGGCCGTAAAGAGAGTTATTTTCGGACTCGCGGGCCTGCTGGTAATCGCCCTTGTTGATATAAGAGACCAGCAACGGCGTTTCCCGGCGGATCAATATGTTGAAGCAATCCTGCAGTAACTCCGCTCGTTGGGTTGGCTGCCAGGTTCGATATACGCCCTGACCTTGATAAATATCTCGGGCAGACAGTTTTCCGGGAACGCCCGCTGATCCTGGTCGGACACCGAAGTGTCGACGAAACAACGCGTCGAATTCGCCAGTCATGGAGATATACTGGTTTTCGTGGACCAGGAGGCCGGCGTGAACATGATGAGGCTGGTTGGGATCATTGGCATTTACGCCCGTAATTCCCGATTCATTCATGAAAACCAAATACATCGGTTGCCTCCTGCGCTGGCGAATTAGGGAACCTGAACGTTGACCACGCCGAACAGGTTGTGAATTACGTGGTCAGGAAATCTACGTGGACGATGCCACCGGTTCGGGGTTGCCATTGAATCTGTGAAGCCAGTGCGGTGTACTCGGCAGACTCTCCGGCAACGGTGACCCGCAAAGGTCGACCCTGTTCGCCGCCAGACTGGCTGAGCGCCTGCAACAACTTGCGTTCTTCGCACTGCAACGCCCTGGAATCGATAGCGCGACCGTAAAGGTGTACGGGCACGATACCGGCTCGGCGCAAGTTCTTGACTTTTTTGCCCAAAACCGTACGGGGTTCAAGTTCAAGGGAGATAGTTTGGGAAGTCATTGAAAACCTGGCTCCTGACAATATTGATGGAATTGGGACCCGACCGGGCCTCAGAATGTTGGTAATCATAGCACACAAAGCCGGGTGCGCGATGTTGCGTAGGATGATGACAGGGCTGGGGGTTCTGGCGACTGATTCCGGGAAATTGCTGATTGCGCGGCCGGCGACGGAGGTTCGGCAGAACTGGCGGGTTGAGACAATTGCCGCCGGGCTCACGCGTATCCGCATTAATTTGTCATCGCGAACGTAGCGTGGCAATCTTGATGAGGCTGAACATACGGCGACGATCCTTCGACAAGCTCAGGACGAACGGCCCGGTGGGGCCGGCCGGGATTGCCACGCCGCTGTGCTCATTGCAATGACAAAGTGGGTACCCTTAAGCGCAAAGATGTATTGACCCGGAACCACTGGTGCCAGTAACATCAATACATCGGGAGCTGGCCAAGGCCTTGCATCCCAATACGTGGCGGGGGTCGAAATGTCATCGAGTTACATTGGCAAGGTTGACAAAGCACGCAAGTACGCCGAAGAACCGGAACGGGTGAACATCCACACGTTCGAAGCATCGTTCATCGGCAATCACAATACCTACCGAGTGGCATTCAACGATGGTAACTGGAGTTGTGAATGCGCTTTTTTCAGCACTCGGGACGTGTGCAGCCACACCATGGCCTTGCAGCGAATGCTGGATGAAATGCTGGCACGCACCGCCGCTGAAGAAGTATCCGGAACGTAGCAACGGGCCCGTCTAGAGCTGTAAAAAGGCCGGGGTCGCACGTGCACCCCGGCCTGATTAAACGAAAGGGTCTGCGGTGATCAGATCACGGCTCGAAGGGACGGAACACCAGGCACGCGTTCTGACCGCCGAATCCGAAGGCGTTAGACAGCACCACATCTACCTTGGCGTCCCGGGACTGATTCCGCACGTAGTCCAAGTCGCATTCCGGATCCGGCCATTCGTAGTTAACCGTGGGATGGATTACCTGGTGGGTTATGGTCTGCACGCAGGCGATGGCTTCCAACGCGCCCGACGCACCCAATGAGTGACCAATCATGCTTTTGGTGCTACTGATAGGAACCTGGTAGACGCGATCCTTGAGCAGGAGTTTGATGGCGGTGGTTTCTACAGCGTCGTTCAGTGGAGTGGAGGTGCCGTGGGCGTTGATGTACGAGATGTCCGCTGGAGTGAGGCCGGCGTTGTTAAGGGCATCTGACATGGCGCGAGCGGCGCTGGCTCCGGTTTCCTGGGGTTGAACCAGGTGACCGGCATCGGAAGTCGCTCCGAAACCGACCAGTTCGCACAGGATGGTGGCGCCCCGGGATTGAGCCCGTGCCATTTCTTCCAGCACCAATACCCCGGCGCCCTCTGAAGGAACAAATCCGTCCCGGTGGGCGTCGAAAGGCCGACTGGCGCGTTGGGGTTCTTCGTTCCTGGTGCTCAGGGCGCGCATGACGGCGAAACCGGCCAATCCCAACTGACTGATTCCGGCCTCGGCGCCGCCGGTGAACATGACGTCGGCGATTCCGTGTCGGATGATCTGCAAAGCCTCACCGATGGCGTTATTGGATGCGGCGCAGGCAGTGGTAGATGTGGAATTAAAGCCGTGGGCGCCGACATATTGGCTGACATTGGCCGCTGCCATGTTGGGTAAGACCATGGGGAAGAAATACGGTGAAATGCGCATGCCGCCTTTGGTGGCGAGGATGCGGCAATTCTCTTCGAGGGTTGGGAACCCGCCGTTCCCGTTGCCAAGTAGCACCCCGACGCGGTATGGGTCTTCGCATTTGATGTCCAGTCCGGAGTGGGATACGGCCTGCAATGCTGCCGCCACCGCCATCTGCGAAAAACGGGCCATTCGTCGGGAATCCCG